AAATTCATACATCTCTGGTGACTAGTCGCAAATCGTGAGAATGCCGTCTGATAAGATCTGGAATCCTTGAATGATATGGTAGATCCAGGGTGTCTTTGAAAGTACTATGGGTAAACAGGAGGGACAACCCAGGTTCTACATATTAATTCTTCAGCCTTGGAGTAGATCTCGGTCGACGTAAGGACCATGATAATAAGTCGGGATACCTAACCTCTGGTTGCTGTAAGGAGCTGAGAAGCTATGTTTTCCAATGCCTGGTTCTGGTCCCTTTTAACCTGCAGAACGATATACCGGTCATTATCTGCCATTGTTGTCCTCGGCTAACTTCCACAGCTGTGCATGTCATTTGGGAGAATTTCCAAGCTCTTGAAACTACACAATACCAAACTCCCATGCAACACTAGTTAAACTATGCCTCATTTTCAGCTTGCCGATCGTCCTACCATGTATAAAAGCTTTATTGTGGTTTCTTGTAGCCATTATGAACCTACGATTTCACTTTCACTTGCAGGGAAAGTCTGCCAATATGTTCTTCCTTTTCTTTAAGGTATCCGACTACGTTCGGAACCGCGATTTTGAAAAGCGCATAAATGGATAATTTCCATGATATTTAGTGTCACTTAGATTAGAATACATGCATAAAATTGTTTTAAGGAGATTCTGACAAAAACTTTTTATTTAAATACGATATTTTGGCAAAAAGTTAACTTAGAATAATCTTTTTTCCAAATGTTCTCCTTTTGTGAAAAATGCTTCTATTATAATAATATTTTGCCTGTATATAGCTCAGACCTCTCTACAGAGGCTCAACTAGAATGTTTGAAAAATTCACATTATTTTCAGAGTTACAACCCATTGAAATAATTATTGGCGTTTTTTTCTTAAAATTGCTTCCCTCTGTAGTCGTAAAATATGAATAAATCCACTTCTAAGTTATATATTTCAAAAATTCTAGTTGAGACTCTGTAGAGAGGTCTGAGCTATATACAGGCAAAATATTATTATAATAGAAGCATTTTTCACAAAAGGAGAACATTTGGAAAAAAGATTATTCTAAGTTAATTTTTTGCCAAAATATTATATTTAAATAATTTTTTTGACAAAATGTCCTTAAAACAATTTTATATATGCATGTATTCTAACCTGAGTGACTAAATATCATGAAAATTATCCATTTATGCGCTTTTTTTAAAATCACGGTTCCGAACGTAGTCGGATTCCTTAAAGTTACCTTGACACTGAGCACAAGTATTCCAATCGTTTGCATGCAGTAACATTCCCTATGCTGTTATCGTGTTGATATTTGCATATGCATCGCTTTTTTATTGAGCTACCTTTTCACTGTACTGTCACAAAAGCCCTTTTCAACAATAGTTATATACAAAAAAATAAATTTGTTGTTTAAGTGTTGAACGCTAATATATGTGTGTATGTGTGTGTGCACGTGTTTACTTTTATATATTTAACATTTTTACTTTTTAACCATTATAAATATTTTATGCATTTAATATTGATATGAATTCGTGTAGGTTCCAATCAATATCTAAACTTAAATTAGGAAAATAAAAAGTAACAGAAATAATATTCACATTTATATATTTTTACTAGTTGATAATGAACAAACACATTTTTGTTACGGAGAAATGAAAGGAAATCATTATTCTCACAAAAAAAAAATTAAATATATGGCTAAATTCTGTGTGAGTGAATATTAACGTCTCACTGTTCAGCTACACATGGGCTTTGGATGAAGGACCTCGTCCTTTTGATCCATGGTCATGTGACGAGGATGACACCTTAGTTGGCACCCTTTCTCCTAACTACCACACCACACCAACGGGTTAGATCAGAGATGTCCAACCCGCGGCCCACCTTGAATAATTTTGCGGCCCACGAGATTCTTTACAACTTTACAAAATTCGACTGATTTGCCCAATATATTTTTGTTTAAAAAGTTTTTTTTTGTAAAAAATAAATCCCATAACTGTTATTATTTTATCACTTTGCTTCTGTTACTGCAAATCTCTTTTTACTAAATTGAAATTCATCAAACATAAATCGTGCTCAAACTTAACGCACGAAAATCTGCAGCATCAATTACGATACGCAAATACACATGCATTGAGATCGACTTGCAAAAACTAAGTGAAAGAGTTGAGAAACAGATATTTCACTAATTAAAAATAAATTAAACATTATTTGATCATTGCATTGTTATTATTATACTATCTATGTTTGTATACATGAAAACAATGAAAACAATAATAATATATCAGTCTGTTTTAAATGTTCACTCCAACAAATGTTTGTAATGGATCCAAATCTAATATAAAGATATATATTTTTATGTGCGGCCCGCGGGATTGTAAAGTTTTTCAAAATGGCCCGCGAGGTCATTTGGGCTGGCCGCTCCTGGGTTAGATTCTTTCAAAGCACTCTTGAGTAATTATCATAGATGTCAATAATACATAGGCGCCTTTCTATCTCCTCCTGTATCTACAATTCATCTTACAAAATTTGTTCAAGCTTTGTTCTCAGTGATAAAAAGAGCAAACAAATACAGTAAAATTATTGACTTTTCTTTTTGGTTTTTTTACACCCGTGTTTGTGTACACGAGTAATATTTATTTCAAAAACTTATCTAAACGTATAAAAAATATAAAAATATAAACAGTTACTTCCAAAAGTCATTTTTATTGAATATTTAGGAATAAACATTAATTGTTATGCTGGCTGGGTGGCGTAATTGGTTTGGCTCTGGCCTTGTACACCCAAGTCGGTGGAATCTCATGATGAAAAAAATTCACAGCGTCCATGTCGTATGGTTATAGGGTTATACGGCATATTAAAGATTCCTAGAGTGCCTGTTTGGCGTGGGAACTTTCAGCCAAATTAAATAGTCGCAAAGTTTTGCATCATCAGAGCTCAGGTGCTTCCCTCCAGGGAGGAAGTTTGGCATCAAAATTACATTGTGTCAATTGATAACCTCCTATATTGTGCCATACTAAAAAGTGATACCAACTCCCGGAGAATGTAATAGGTCTGCAATGGTAATTTGTAGTACGCCCTATAAGAAAAAAACATTAATTGTTATTATCAATAAACTTTAAAATGATTCATCATTAAAATTTAGAAAGACGTCTGTAACGGGTCTATTCCCGAACCTCTCCTACTAATCCTCTTGGGAAATTTGCTTCTTTTAAATATTGTTCTATTGAAAACTTTCTCCCGAAGAAGAAGATGCGATTTGTGTAAATCATGTCTGATATTGAAGCATTAACTTTTAGGTTCGTGAGAAATAGAGTTTAGGAGTTATATGATAGAAGTTAGTAACTAACGTAAAGTAGAAGAAAGCTAGTCGAGATTGACTCGTTGATTGTTTGTTTAATATTTAAAATTGATGATTGACGAGTTGGTCAATTACATATTTAAATTAGAATAATGTCGGTTTGAAGTAGATTAGCTTAGAACGGAATTTCGATTATTTGGAACGTGTATGGCCAAGACGTTACGTTTCAAGAGTAAGTGATTCAATTCAAAATAAAGTATTAATTATCTCGTATACCTTGCTTTTGCTCCAATACTTACTTATAGGTACATTTCCTAATTTGGGTTGTTGAGACTTGTTAATAAATTATATTGTTTTGATTATGTCTGATCTTCATTCTAACTTTCGAACACTGATGAATGTGAGGGGACATCCATCACATGTCGACTAAAAAATATATAATGAAGAAAAATGACGAAAATGGTAGTGTCACAATAGTTTAAAATGTTTCTGTAGTTTCGTTCCATTCTTTCTCTCATTTCTTTCTCTTTATATATTCTACTAAAATGCAAACTGAAATAATGTATTGGTGGGAAAGTTATAAAAGAAGCCCCATATAATTATTTAAATGTGAATCTTACTTTATATCTTCCAAAATTTTTGGAGAATATTTGTTTTGAAAGCAAAGCTTGGTTTCAATACAAATATGCTCCATATTGAAAATATATTGCATCTAAGAATATGGAATTAATTGCGTAATATCGAGTCAATGAACTACTAAAATGATAATATCCTTTAAAATATAAAATACTCAAAAACCCATCATAATAAAAATCATTCAGGATACATCTGCTTGAGAATGTTTCAGCACATTCGAATCCACTTTTTCTCACCTTAAATTGGTGCTATTAGCCAATACAAAAAAAAAGAGGGGAGACGGGATTTTAATTATCAAACCATCTAACCTTGACAGAGAAGCGTTATGTTCGTCGGTATCAGAGAATGGCGTAACAAGCAAAGCAGAACGAAGGCGGTGTGGCGTGGAATATGCCGGTCTCGTTCCAGCTTTCCACTGGGGTTGTTAGGTAACGCTTACCGATCCAAAAAATGAAGCAAAAACTATTTGTTAGGGTAAAGATGCAGAAAGCGTTAGACAAGATTTGAGCTTTAGGTTTAGTTTAATATCTCCTATAAGTAGTTGTAGTAAAGATAATCTTAATTTTTTGTGTAGTAATTTTTATTGTCGCCGTAATAACTTTAAAACACTAATAATTCTAAAATAATTCGATTCCTACTATTAGTTCACTCTCTCCCTACACACACGCACACACACACACACACACATACATACATATATATATAGTATAATAAAATAAAAAAGTGAAAAAATACTAAAACCTACAGTGCTAAAAAAGTAAGAAATTGGAATTCAGCAGACACAACAATTGTGGATACAAAAAAGTAATTGGACTAAACTGGAGACCTATTACGATTTGATGACCTATTTTGAACAAGATATATATATATATATATATATTGTTCAAATTGTCAATCGTTAATAAAAATACTTTCTATCAATCCATTCAAGTTCAAATTCATTTTTTAAAACCTGCAGTGGATGACACTTGATGTTAATACAGTTTTTTCAAATAATAATTCATTCATTAAATTAAAAAATGAATAAATAGTAACAAACAAAAATAATAGTCCAACAGCATACATAGAAAGGAAAATCGTCGCTTTGTCCCTATAGCTCATTGGACTTCTAATCCAAAGGTCGTGGGTTCGAATCCCACCTGATATGGCCTAACTTCTGAGAATGTGATTTCTTTTTTACGGAACTATTTTATTAGAATAATTTAATTTAATTCATTAATAAATAGTAACAAACATATAATAGTCCAACACCCTAAATAGAAAAGAAAATGGAAAATTGCAAGAAAAATCACTTTCTATTTTGTCACTTAATAGTGTGATTCTGTCCTATATACAAACATATTTCTATTAATTGTAACTATTTAAAAAAAGTAACTAAAATAAAAATTTTCATTGTTGACTTAAGTAAGAATTGACTTAATTTTTTTATATTACTTGTTTTTATTTTAATCTTATATTATTTTATTTCAATATTTTTATAGGGTTTTTTTAATTTTTTTTTTTTTTTTAAAGATGACAGGAAAAGAAAGATGCTCTTTTTTTGCAGATTGAAATCAGATTCTGAAAAAAATAGAAACATGCAAATACAAACAGAAAAAAAAGATTGGATCTCGAGCACAAAGACTATTAAAGAAAAAAAATTTTAATATCAGATTATTATGTTAGAGGATTGATATACAAAATTTCTTTGGAGCGAAGATTAGATAAGTTGGAAGTTTTATCGTAGTAAAACTACAATACTGATTGCTATTGCTACTCCAAGTCAATTTGAAAAGAAAAAAAATTAAATAATATTAGAAGAAATATTTTTCTCCGATAAATTTTGATCCATCAGTATAATATTCGAGAAAAAAATATGCAACAATTTCAAAAGTCAAATGCTATTTTCAGTTGTATTCTCCGAAAAACTGGGAATTTTGGGTGATATGTCAACTGGTTACATGTGATGACCGACGTCCATGTATAGACTTAGGCCTACAATCATACGCCATCATTACTCATTCAGTCAGAAGGCGACTATGGGTGGAACCGGTTTGTGCGATTGTAAGCGATGCACATTTATTTGTTTCGGGTAAATGTTTGTACAGGTACATGTTTGTTCGGGTAATGTTTGCTACGTACTGTCTCCTTTTAAGGATCATAGATAGGGCCTACATTTGTGTAGGGTCCTAGAGCCCACTTTTGCGTAGGGTCCCAGGGCCTACTTTTGCGTAGAAGCCCAGGGTCTCGAGAAGTCTCAAGATGTCCCTGGATACACATTAGACCAATAAAGGCTTCAAGTACTCCCATTGACCTGGTATGGAATTTCAGAAAGGGGATACTATCTAGGGTTGTCCTCGTCACTTGACCGATGCTCAAAATTGCGAGGTCCGTCGCCAATAGCCCTCGTGTTAATTTACAGTGCTATGATAATCGACACTCATTCTCTAACCCTGAAATCCTGTGAAGAAAAACATGACAGTTTCTGTATTGACTTAAAGTCAACTTGATTTCGATGAAAGCTTTTAAATATCGATAGGAGAGACTGCAGTAGCTGAGTGGTCATGGCATCAAGTTAAGGATGGGAATGCTTAAGTGCAGAAGCGTGCTCTAGTCCTGATTTCAGTATAGAACTGTAGCGTAGAGGGGACCAGATTCACATTAAACATTCTGAAGTGAATATCCTTATTTGGGCATTGCGGGACATGGATATGAAGAGTGGGGTACCAATTTAAGGTTAATTCGGTAATGTTTAGGGATAATAATTAGTTTTTCATTAGCCTATATATAAAAGGATAATTAGGCTAAGAAATCAATAATAAGGAATAAATGATTATTTAAAGTTTAGAAAAAAATGTGGCTTATATATCTAAATTCAGCTTTCTTGTGCAGTTAAACCGCTGAAACTGACCTCTCATCTGAGCTGATGACTTCATAATTTTGCTAATTTTGTCAAGTCTCTCGGTTAATCTAATGAAAGTGAGCTATCTCAATCCTGTAAGTTGTAGGTATGTAGACCTCGTCTGCGGACTATACAATTTACAATTAATTTAACGTCTATAACTTTAAAAGTTAAGTTCATTTTATCTCAGGGGTTAAAGGTGGAGATTTTTTTCCTTATTTGTACTATTAAATTTTTTTCTTGTTTTATTGATGTAAGATATGAAAAAGTTCCCGGTATACTAGCCACCATATTCAAAGCTAACTGAACAGGGCTATGGAACCTGGAATCAGGAAACCGAGGTTAAATGAGAGAGTAAGTGTGTGAATACTAGCGTCACCCTATTTAGCTACACGAGGGCTTTTGGCGATGGACCTCGTCATGTTGAACCCTGGTCAAGAGACGAGGACCACACCTGAGCTGGCACCACCTTCTCCTAACTTCTACACACCAACAACGGGAGGACGTTCCAGTCTCGACATTTTTAACATGCATCGGCTCCCTTTAACGCGGGTCCTTAGCAGTAATAGGCTCGAACTCAGGACACGTCAACTACGGGTCCGTTTCCTTGACCACTACGTTACCGCAGCCTCGAGGTTAAGAGAAAGCAAACCACTGGTTAAAGCTTAATTTCACAACTATTTTTTTTTAATTTCGTTTACTCAAATGAGAGTTTGTAACCTCGTTGGTCAAAATAGACTCTGTGACCACACAAGCGCGGTTAAATTTAACCGAGCTGTGAGTCCGGTCAAAATTTTCTGATCTTGACAGAGTTAGAGAATGAGCTTGAAATGATGAAATGACCAAAGGCAAATTCGCGGTTTTCTTCCTTTGACCGCCGGTTTAGTGAGTGAGTGAATATTAACGTCGCACTGTTCAGCTACTCGAGGGCTTATGGCTATATAAACTGGTAATTTTGAACCATGGTCAAGTTACGAGGACGACACCTGAGCTGGCACCCCCGTCTCCTAACCACCACACCACACCAATGGGAGGACGTTTGAGCTCTCGACAGATTTAACGTGCATTGCTCCCCTATGCAGCGGGTCTTCAGTGGTACTGCGCTCGAACTCGTGACACGCCAGCCGCGAGCCCGTTACCTTGACCACTAGGCTACCGTGGCCCCGCCGGTCCAGTTAACGATGAATACATTTGTAAATGATAAAACCGAACTTGAAAGAACATTTCCCCATTGCTTTTATAATAAAGTACAGATTGATTTATTTTCCATTTTTTCTAAAAAATATTATCAAGGTACAAGGAAAAAATAAATTCATTGATTTTGAATGACATTCTTGATACAACACTCGCATGGTTTTATTGCCTTTTAATTATATTTACACATTCACACACATTATATATTCTTCTAAAATTTACAAGAATATTGAGTACATAAATCCACTTCGATATGTTAAGCGTATAATTTCAGTCCCTTGAATAGGCCACGAAAGTCTACGGGTCAAGGTAAAGAACTCGTGGCCGGCGTGACCGGCGAATGCGAACCTGAGCCACTGAAGAACCGTCATGTAGAGGGCCTGATCCACATTAAATCTGTCGGAGCTCAAGCATCCTTCCGTTGGTATGGCGGGGAAGCTAGGAGAGGGGGTGCCAGCTCAGGTATCGTCCTCGTCACTTGACCATGTTCAAAATGAGGAGGTGCGTCGCCAAAAACTCTCACGTAGCTGAATATATAGCGACGTTAATATTCACTCACTCACTCAGTCCCGTGAATAGACAGCATATAGAAATTATCCTATATTGTATTAATGCGTTCCCCGGTTGGGAGGTATAATTGAATAGGCACTGGTCTTGTACGCTCAAGTTTTCGGGTTTGACCCCGGACCAAGTCGGTGGATTTTCCTGATGCAGAGCGTCCATTTCATGTGATTATGCGGCATGTTAAAGATATCAAGAGTACCTGTTCATGTGTGCTTTGGATCCTCTCGGCAAAATTAAATTCCTAAGTACAGTTTCACATCATCAGAGCTCAGGGGAGGAAACTAAGTGTCAAAATTATTTGCGACGATTGGTATATCAACTGTTTGGTGCCGCCCTAAAAGGGATATCAGCTCCAGAGAATTGTAATAGGTCTGTAATGGTAAATACCAACCCAGCCCCATTTGAAATAAATAAATATTAATAAACACGTGTGCAATTTAGATTAAGAATTTCTCCCCACCCTTTTCTTCTTTATCTGCCCATAAACTTAATTAATGCTAGGCATACCCGAACTTATCCTAAATATATATTTCATAACACTAATGAAAAATAAGTAATTTTTGTTGTATAAGATTTTATACCTATAAACAGAAGAGAGATTTTCGTATGCTAGACCGAGTAAGACATTTTATCTTCTCTTGCGGAGGGCAAATCGCAAAGAATGCAAATTCTTCCGCAATCATTATTTGTCAAAAAACCAAGAAAAATATAGATAACAAAAAAAATATTCAATTGTGAAATTTTTTAAATATATTCAGAGATAAAAGTGAACACACACATGTCGTAAACAGTTCATCAAATTTGACATATGTACTCGCGTTAGACAATCCCTAAAAAGAACGCCCTTAAAATTTAACAACTTTGAGCTCGTTTTGTGTGATTCGAAACATACATTTTAAATGTTTCGCTTAAAATTCAAATCTCAATCCCTTAAAATGAGAATGTTTTTGTATTTCATTTTAAAATGTGAATCTCTTAATTTTATATATGTCAGATTTGCCATAGTAAAATTAAGAGGAATTATTATTGTGGACAGATTGATTTTAATTAACATAGCTCTAACGCTTCAAAATGTTGACGAATTTTTCAATTCCTACTCTTGGTTCATACTCTCCCTACATATATTTCTTTATATATATATATATATGTATATATATCTTATTCAAATTTTCAACCCCTAATAAAATATTTTATTAATCCACTCAAGTTCAAATACATTTCTTTAAACTTGTAGCGGCTGGCACTTGATGTTAATACAGTTTTTTCAAATATTAATTCATTAATACTATTTATTTAATGAATAAATAGTAACAAACAAAAATAATAGTACAGCATCATACATAAAAAGGAAAATGGTTCCTTGTGGTTCTGTAGAGTAGCTTGTGAATATCGTGTTGGACGTTTAATCCGAATGTTGTGGGTTCGAATTTCACCTGGGATGGCGTAATTTCTAAGAATATGATTTCTTTTTACAATACTCTTTTATTGGAATAATCAAATTTAATTAA